AATCATGTAATCATTTAACGCAGTACTTTCTTCTGTTACTTTTGCTTGTTCGAAATCTAGAGATAATTGTAACACAAAATGTTACAATGTGTAATTCCAGAAATCATCCATACCTACCCCACAGAGGAATTTGGAATTTCCGAAAAGTAGGGGGGGTCAGAGAAAGAACAAAAATTACAGAGTTTGTATGGAAGAAAATTGGAATTTCCAGGGGGTAGGGGGATGTCTTAAGAAATTTCCTCTTTGTGGGGGGTATGGATGATTTTTGGAACTACACAATCTAAAGAAAAAAGTGAAAAATTTAGAAACAGTATAAATTACCTGGTAGACAGTGTTACTTGACTGAATGAATTTGAATTTGAATGATTTGAACTTATATACTTATGCTTATATTATGCAAAAAAAGTGCGCTAAGGTTGAGATAAAAGGATCTTATTATCCTATTGTATTTCTTCATTCTTAAATATTTTTGTACAGTGAAACATATACCAACAAGTGAACCTAAAGAGATCTATTGAGCAAAATATTTTTTATATGCTTAATGTTAAATATCTTTATCATATGTCAATCCTCAGCTGGAAGAAAGTCTGCGTCGATCATGAAGACATGGACAAGTTTTGGAGAAACCCAAGCSAAGACTTTGATTTTTTTCAGTTGAAAAATCACTTTGCACCAGTCGATGCGGCTATCRTAATGGCAGGAGGGAGGCTTTGTGTGTCGGGATCAAGGGACAGATCAGTTGGAGTGTGGAACCTTGCATCTCTTAAAAAACAGGGAGATGAAAATAATGCACTTATTCATAATTTGGATGGGCACAAGGTACAGAATTATTTATTAATTGCTGGGACATTGCTTATCTRCCAGCTAAGAGGTAAAATTTTAAATAATATCTTTCAGGGCTGGGTGTGGTGCTTAGCTAGTGACCCCACTGGGTCACCAAGAGTGTGCTCAGGTTCATGGGACAACTCTGTCAAGATATGGGACCTGCAGAGCAACACTGTTGAAATGACTACAATCCGGTGGGTCCAAATGACTACAAGCTTTTTTAATTATAATATATTTGGCAATATTTGCCTAACACATGTAAAGGCCAGTTTAGACCGTTACAATTTTWGCCTACAACCTATTGTATACGACATGCTCGCGTCTGTCGTAGGCGAGTTGTAGGCTTGTAGAGTTGTAGGATGGCRCAAGTGTGTTGTATACGATAGTTGTAGGCGAAAATCGTSCCGTCTAAACTGGCCTTAAGGATGATTGAAATTTCAATCTGTGTCTTGGAGATGATCTCAAGAAGCAATTTCCAGGCAATGAATTTGGAGGGTTCAAAATATACAAAATTCAGTTTTCAGGACAGTGGAATTCTATTATTTGGTCCTTTAAGTGGAGCTGCTTAATTAATATRCTACAAGGGCTCGGGTCTGTGGGTCTAYTCCTAGGTTGAGGAAAAAACTGGGTTAATTTAAGTTAGCATCTCAGTCACTGCGTCGTGGGACAGTTTTGAGGACAAAATACATGCCATACTTGGAAACATGAAATAAAAGCCAACTCAACCCAGAGTCAACTTCATAGTAGTTCAAGGGCATAGCCAGGAATGGCCAATGTGGCCAGTGCTGTGCCCCACCCATTCCCCCCCATCCTCATGCTGTAGAAACCTAAACACCTAAGTAGTCATGTGACTTACTGATGTTCTGAAAAAACTCTGACTACGCCCTGTGGCCAAAATATGCCATGTAGTTTCATAGAGTATACCCATGCTTAATCCTGGGTTTTTCAGTTTTAAAGGGTGGGAGGCTCAGAAGATGTTATATATAGTAATTTCAACTTCACTTTTGTTTTACTCTAGTAATCACAAAGCTGCTGTGTTATGCATGGAATGGCAACAAGATATTCTCGTAACAGGAAGCTATGACAAACATGTTAGAATGTTTGATTTAAGAGGTATGACAACAACACCCCTAGTGCCTAACCCAAGAGCCAACTTCATTACATTATAAGGAGATGGGGGGGGGGGGGGGGGGGGTCAACGTTGCGCATGGCTGATATTATAGAGAGAGAACTGGGGATGAGTCAGTGACAAACTACCATTGAACGGCATTCTCCTTTACAGATCCTCCTCGGTTGTCATTCTCCCCGTTAGAGGCTCTGGGAAACCCCAGAAACTCTCGCAATTTGATTGATTTGATTGGCTTTTAAGAAGAACAATAGATCTACTTTTTGATAGAATAATCGAATGTTTTTGTTCACCATTTGTTGTCAAAGGGTTGTCCATGCTTGTCTTGGAAAGAGGGTTTTCTAGGGTTTCCCAGAGCCTCTGATGGGGAGGAACGACAACCGAGGAAGATCTGGTAACGAGGAGCATTGAATGGCTGAAATTCAGTCGGCAGTTAGTCAGCAAAGCCTCTAGGTGCTGTTCTTGTGTTTTACCAAAGAAGTCATTCTTGATTAAATTAAAGTTGGTCCTTATTTGTSTTCATATATTCATAATATTTCATTATTTTTTTAAAGACTGCCRTATAGTCAATGAAATGAGGTACCATACAAAACCAGTCCTGTGTTTATCTATGGATGATCGCTTCATCGTAACAGGCAGTGAAGATAAAACCATGTGCGTGTATGACCGCAGAGCATGTTCCGTCTTCAAAGTCTTACCGGTAATGATATTCACGACTCTTAAACTCCAGTGTATGTGGGCGTAGCCTCTATTCTGAGGTCGGAAAACAAAAGCTGAAATTAAAATAACAAAACAAGCAACTCATGGATTCGAGGCTAAGCGCATACACTGGAGTTTTAAGAGTCGTCAACTTTAGTCGCCAAGTTGAACAAAAGATTATGGTTTGATGGGTGGCGTAGTAGTTTACCACTCGCCTTTCACCTGTCCGGGTTCCAGCTGGATAATATGTGGGTTGAGTTTGTTTGATGTGAGTTGTTCTCTCCATTGTCACGAAGGTTTTTCTCYGGGTTCTCTGGTTTTTCCCCTTCTGTAAAAATGAACATGTAAGTTGAGTGTTATATGTTGTAAATATCTAGAATGTAGTGGTAGTGAGTGTAGAGGTAAATCYTCACTGAAGAGCTGCTTACGGGGAATGATTGTTGTAAAATAAGTTGTTAAAAAGTTTTTTAGAGTTTAAGATTTGGCCTTATTGCTTCAGTCATGCATGTCGACTAACATAATGACTTTGTATAATGTTCTTTTATCTTCATTAGAAGGGATGCAATTCATTTTTTCCTAAAAAAATATTTAAATGAAAAATACGTGTACCTTTTCCACTGAGAGCTTGAGAAAGAGTGAAYGAATGGTAAGAAAGATGGGACCAGACACTATCTACAGAAGAGTGTCAACTCCAAGTGTTGTTTATATATTCTTCTCCTAAAAGCAATTTTCGTGTCATTTAATCCAGCTCRAGAGCCCTGCCTTTTGTATATGTAGAAGTTCTTCAGCAGGATACAACTATCTTCGCCTTGGGGGCAGAGCAGGACAGATTTACTTMGTCAATACTACAGCTGACTCTTTTGAGATAATTGAGGTTAGTAAGGGGTCTATCATTTATTAGCGCATTGGGGGGAGGTGGGAGGGGGGAGGAGGGTCTGCAAACTTATAGCATACTAATAGCATAATAATATACATTATTTTGAGAAATTAATGAGGGGGGATTATACATATTGATGGGGGTTGGGAACTATTGTAGGGTAATGAAGGGGGAGGGTGAGGGGGAGGGGGGTTGGCAAACTTGTAGTTGGGGTTATATTATTTTGAGAAAGTAATTAGGGGGGATTATTACATATTGAGAGGGGTTGGGAACTATTGCAGGGTGATGAAGGGGGTTATGCAATTGTTGCCTCTACCATGGAAGGGGGTTGGGTTATGTTTGTAAAGCTTTACATGTGATTTTGCCACCTCCCAACCCCCTCCAAAGTGCTATTAAATGAAAGCCCCCTAACGAAAATGACAATTGATTTYCCCCTGAGTCTCTCCTGCCCCTCGCCCGTTTTCTAACTCTTTGTGCCGGACCGTTTTCCTTTCTAGACAATTGGTGATTGTAGCAACGAAGCTGGTTTGCAAGGCAAGATCTGTGGCTTGTGTCACTACGGCGGGGCTATAGTGGCAGCATCTAGTGACCATTCTATTAAGGTATTTTTATCTATTTTTACACGGTCACGGTCACGGATATGATGACTTTTGTTGAACTAATCAAAGCGTGTGAGATTTAAGCCCTATCACCCAACTAAAATCCTTGAAGATGACACCGTCAGGGTCACCGCATATCATATCCGCAATAATATGCTATTGGCATACTGTCGATATCGTATGCTCTGACGTTAGGGACGTGGAAYACCGTGACTGCAAAAGGTGCCATCTTTTTGCAATCTTTTAATGTACTCGGCTTTGTGATAGTGGTTCTCATCATTGCGTCGCGTCCACATTGTCTTCGCACATTCTTCGAAATTCGGTTCTTTATCAATTTTTTTCGAATTCTCAATTTTTTGCGTTTTAGATTCTAGAACCGTCAAGGGTGCCAGTTAAAATATGTTCTTTTAATGAACACGCTGGAGATGTAGCATCTGTAAGTACCACACAGTATTTTATTAATTTGATATCTATTTATTTCATATTTTATATTGAATGTGGAGTTCCCCAAGGTACGTCTTGGGACCTTAACKTTTACATGGAAATCTTTAAAATTGTTTCAAAAGTGCGGTGTTTCTAAAAGTTGTTGAAGATGGTTTCTCATTATCTATTCCATTTTATTTGTGTATTTATTCCAAATTCTTTTAGAATGTGGAGTGYCTCAAGTTACACCTTGGGACCTAAAGTTTTTATGTTTGAGTCTATCAGACTTTCCAGGAATACTATGCTTTTAAATTTTGCTGCACTAAATTATTTGAAATGATAAAAAATGATTTGTCATTACAATTTTTCAATCGTTTGTAAGAGTATTTTTAGGCGCGTGCTTAAAGTTGGTCAAATAATGTTATATACTTATGTTTTTATTTTAATATTATCATAAGGTACATAGCAATGGTGGAGTGTTAGCATCAGCATCTAGTGATCTAACGGTCGGGATCTGGAGACCCAAATCTTTACATCCTATTGAATAACTTGGAACTTAGCAGTGAATTGTGAAATAAAACTTTGGTGGTAAGGAATCTGTAGATTTGTTTTCTGTTCTGCAGTTCCATTTTTTCTCTCCTTTTTCCTTGCTCGCTAAGTTTGTTTGTTTTTTTTGTTTTTTTTGTTTTGTTTTGATTTTCTTTTGTTTGTTTGTCGTTTTTTTTTTTGTTGTTGTTGTTTTTTTTTGTTTTGTTTTGTTTTGTTTTGCCAAACATTACGCTACGCTACATAACGTTACATGTCTTGCTATGCTTTAAGGTGTAATATGTTACAAGCTGTGCTGTGCCTTGCCGTGCCTTGATGTCAGTGCTGTGCTGTTTTGTGCTGTTCTGTAGTTTGCTGTGCAGTTCTGAGCTCTACTCTACTCTTCTCTGTGCTTTGCCCAATGRGATATACGCTAAATGCTCTCAATGATAATCCACCAAACGATGGCAATATAGACCTAACTCGGCCTCGAATCACAGAAAATCTCTCTTTCAAGACATTCTTAAAGAGATCTGTTCGAAACGCATGTATAACTGGATTAAGAAATGAATTAAGGCTTAAACAGAATGCAGGAATAACATCGAACATGGTTCCTATGACTTCACGAACAGATGGCTCACCACCTGAGACAACTGTAATAGCTAAGAAAAAAACCGGAATGAGAAAAAAGATAATATTGCTTCCAACCAAGATTGAAATCCGTTTTGCGAGTTTGGATTCTCGCCTGATGCCGGCGTTCTGAGCTGCACGCTTTGTGGTAATGTAAATATGAATGTACAAACAGAAGGATAGCAGGTACAGCAATATTGCTACAGAACCTATTGTCAACGTGAAAACGTATGGGTAAATTATATTGATACTATATCTAAGGCGAAGTGGAACACATAAGAAAGTTCTAGCGAAATAGTTATAGTAAAGGGCCCAGCAAGTCAGAAAGACAGCCACCAACCAACAAACGGAGATCAAAATCATAGCCATGCGACGAGTGATTCGAACGTCTGGTTTAAGACTGTAGACAATAACAAGATACCTCTCTAGAGTTAACAAGAAGGATGTAACTACGCCCCCCGATTGACCTAACATCCACAGAAAACCAATCTTCAAGCATTTTTCACGAGAATTCGTATGGATTTCGAAAAACGAAAAGCTRTTTAAATATACTCCAATCTTCACTATATAAATCCCTACAAACAAGTCACTCAGCGCCATGTTGCATATAAATAACATTAAAACATTCTTGCGAAGGCTTCTAGACGTTATGATGCTCAAGAGCACGACAAGATTTAGCAGCGCTGCCACACTCCCTACAAAAGACTGACAATTGACTACTTTAAGTGTTGTTCCCCAACACGTATTCCCCRCCTCGTGGTAGTAGTACTTTTTCTTATTTACACATACAAATGTKTTGTGATTGTTGCACTGCACATGAAAATTAGTACCGTTGAGTGTTTGCGCCAAAACTGAGAGGTTGTTGACTCGAAATGCATGTAAATGACATCCTCTTTTTAAAACGTAAGGCGCTTCWGGTGACCAACTAAAATTGTTTCGAGTTAATGAACAATATCTGCAGCGTGRCTCGGATACCCTTGATAGGAGGACGAGTTTGCTGACAAGTTTTAACCTAGGCAACTGAAGAAATGATTTCTCCAGTACCCAGTGCTTGATCCCTGTAACGTACAGAACTGACAGCGAGGGAAGTAGGCCCGATAGATTTCCACTCATTGAACGAAGAGGATTGTAAGAAAGTCTTCTGTGAGAAGAAAAAAAAAAGGAAAGAGAGTGAAAGKTAGAAATTATAGAGCACAGAATTGTACAGGCAAGATTTAGGTAATTTGACACACTGCTCGCAATGTCGCGCGTGATGGTGAATGGATCTAATAAGTGTCCTTGAGGTATACCATCTTGAGGGAAGGGCTGCGGCTTCAGAGAGGAGGGTCAGTATAAATTTAAACTTTTGTAAAGGGTCGAGCCTTTTTCATTTTATTCGGTGTCCTTAGTGACTTCATAAGAGGGTCGTGAATTTTTTACTGAGTGAAGAGTGAAGAGGGGTGGGCTAAAACCATRTTTTGCAACGAATGTTCTGGTTGAGTGATAGCAACTATTAGTCACTAAAAAGTACTATTTGTCCGCAGCATCAACTTTGTTTTTATTTCATGGTTTCACTGCATGCACTCTATTTTATGTCCTTTCATGCGTAACTGTTAAATAAAGAAATCTAGGGAATGATACGCGTGGTCTGAAGTTCAAAAACATTGCGCCCAAGGTAACGAAGCTAAGTATATAGGTCGGTATCAATAGACGTCACTTCCGGTAATAGCTCTTTTTTGATAGCTTGTAGGATCCTGGAGGTTGTTTTGATCTCTTATTTTCTGGTTTGATGTCGTGAAAATAGTCAAATACAATAGTTCAAGGACTTATTTTGATATGTTTTGACTTATCATCCGCTAGTTGCCCCCCAGTCAACCGCTTGTTTGCCCCCCAGTCAACTCCAAAAAGTCACGTGATTGATAGTAAGCAATTGTAGTGTACTCATCAAGAAAGTATTGTTTAATACTTACAGAGCTTTCAAGTTGTTAAGGCCTTTAAACGCGTCATACTTCAAATTTCTGATCTTGTTATGCGCAWTGGATCTGAAACGCCAATATTCTTGAAACTTAAACAACAAAACGTATTTCTAAAGGGCTTAAAATGGGGACGCCTCACTAAAGGAGTGAGTTAGTAAGAAAATCAATTTTATTTCTTCTCCTAACAACACCTAGTCTCCCCCACAGCCGCTTTCAGTGTCGTCACGCAACGCTTTCTCTTGCAGTGACGACACTGAAAGCGGCTGTGAGGGAGACTAAACAACACCGCTCGGCCGAAAAATTTGATTAGAAAAAAAAAAAGAATTTTGCACCCCCACGACCCTAAAAAATATATCCATTTTATTTCGTTTGTTGAGTATTATACTTGACATCAGCGCTAGCTTGATACTTACAAGTATACGAGGTCTGGATATCGAGCCAAAAAGCTATCTGGCAGAACTTGTAAATTATTGTTTGACAAATATCTGAAATAAACAGAGTTTTTATTAAATATTAAAAGAAAAATGATGTTAACACACCAATATATAAGCTGAATTTTGGCATTCCAAAAAACGCGAGAAACAAATGTTACCGTTGCGTAACCTCCCAAAAAAATTGCAAACTTTCGTGTAATATCTTTAACATTCGTCTTTATTCATTTTGCCTATTAACAACGGCACAGTGTGGATGCGCACCTATCTTTAGAGAAAAAAAACGTGAGAAATTATCTAAGACCATTTTTTTCGACTTGTGGGCGCGAGCGCGCGTAGGCCTATCGTTCTAAGATTTACTTACAGATGCGTTGCATTAGTCTTGTCTGCCAACAGAATTTCCAGCTCACAGAGCTGTTTGATCTTACAGGCAACAGAGAAGGAGCGAATTGATAAAAMTTTCATGCTACAATAGCTAGAGTCTCGTACCACGCAGTTGGGTTGGTTTAAGAGCGATTCACCTGCACCGAATACGATAAAAAATGTTTGAGCCAATAACATCCACAATGAAGAGCTAAAAGTTTCCCGTTTCTCCATTCTCGTATTACAAAGAATGAGCGAAAAAAATGTTAACGCACTGTAAAATATATACTGCTTCCGCGGTGTTTTCTGAAGATGATTAAGGCTGAGTGCGTGTTAGTATTGTTTGCTGGTTTAGCGATTTTCAGTTCTTAAATATATTGTTGCTGAAAGTCGATAAAACATAAAAACATTGTGACTTCGATAACAGACATCTAAAAAACGGCTTACTGTAAGTGGTGCTTTTAACTGATGTGTTCACTTTCAACGATTTCACTTGATTTTGCCATAATGCGATCACAAAWAAATATCGGCTCCGGCAAGAGAGCATAATGACTGACTGACTGAGAGAAGTATTATCTTCTATATTAGTTCTTCAGAAGCAGAAGTTGAAGCAAAGTTTCTCAAAGTGCCTCTTCAATAATTCCGGAGTTCGAGCGGGAGTTTTATCACCTCTTCTGAGTTTCCGAATGCACTTCATGAAGAGGACTTGTGTCGCACGAAACTTTTTTCTCGTCCACTGTGCTAATATACTCACCCAAGATCACTACATCCTTCTTTCTTTCTTTCTTTCTTTTTTTTCATGGTCTCATGGTTTCCACCAAACCGGAAGTGAATAAGTACCATTCGGGGTGGCCGAGAGGAAGTGCAGGGGTAAGCGCGATAGTCGAGCTAACAGCAAGGAAAAATCAAAATGGCGTGGCAACCTGACCAAGACGGACTCCAGCAAATAATACTCTTACTAAAGGAAAGCCAAAGCCCAAATACAGAAACCCAACGTGCAGTGCAACAAGTATCCTTTCTTCTACCTCTAGCGTTATTTTTAAGGTTCTAGTCGGTTTCTGTGTGTTATTATCGCCGAAGAATCGTGTGGCGGTTAAAGACAAACCACACGTGTCTTACACTTCTCTTTGCCGTCTTTGCCTTTTAGTTTGACCTGCTTTCTCTCCTTAAAATCTTTCCTTAACTATTTKTTTAGAAACTCGAATCTCTTAACCAATTTCCCGATTTTAATAACTATCTTATTTTCGTGCTTACGAAGCTCAAGAGCGAAGGTAAGATTTGATTACAGTCAGACGTTTTTAAATATTGAGCAATAAAAGTTCCTTCTGTCAAACACTCTCCTTCGAAATGATAGACTTATTTGTAATGCGTGCTTTYGTTTTCTACCAGACGAACCAACACGGTCACTCTCTGGATTGATTTTAAAGAATAACGTACGTTCACATTACCACACTTTTCCAAACGAAGTGCGAGAGTTTGTAAAGTCAGAATGTCTGCAAGCAATAGGAGATCCTTCGCCATTGATTCGAGCTACCATAGGCATATTAATAACAACGATAGCAGCTAAAGGCGATCTCACAAACTGGCAGCAACTTCTTCCTACGTTATGTCAGATGTTAGACAGCGAAGATTATAACGTCTGCGAGGTAAGATATTTTTTCCTCAAGAAATTTGATGAAATCTTGTGTTCTTAATATATTAACCTTCAGTSCAGATCTTCAGTATTTCTTAGACTTTTGTTTACAGACAATAGAAATTTATGCGATGATCGTTATGGTTTATTGTTGAGTGATATACCCTCCTATAGTTATTAAGTTAATTGATTTATCCAGATTCTGGAAAAATAATGATCAGTCGAAAACCGGAGTGTTGAAAATAAATWATTTTTCTGTTATATCACGTGACTAGAGCTTATTTTTTAGTGTGTGAGATTGTGCCATAATAYGGCAATTATATTAAAGCTGTCATTTTTTTGATTGTGGATTTGAATATATTAAATTTCAAGGAACTAGCAAGTAGCCTAGCTGGTTTGGTGTAGTTACTAGCATAAATGATGGATATAACAAATAAGTAAACTGATCGTTGTATACATCGTATGTTAAGAGACCAATATCATTTTTATTCATGAGTTTCCATWTATCGCAAACAAGGAAGTCTGCGAGTGAGTAAGCAGTATTAGAAAACATGTGAGTGAAAAAGATATCGGGATCTTAACATGAAATCATTTGTTTATTACACCTTTAGGGTCAAATAATATGATAGCAAAACTCTGTTTCCATTTTACCATGCAGTGATATTGTATCACTTCATCAATATGGATTTTATTCACAACTTTATCACACTATTATTGAACCTAAATGTGTAATAATAATAAAATTTCCTYAACTGATGTTTTGGACTTTAGTTCATCGTCTTGGTAACTCTCACTGCAGTTTTCGATATAAGTTGATCKTGRTAGYTGCCAGCTGCWYGCTGAAATTTGGCTTTTCTGCTCTCAATCAAAAATAATCAGTCTGTACCTTTTATATCTTTGACTGATGAAAGTAAAAAATCAATTTGACAACAAGTTKAAATTTTTGAGTTCACATAGCTCAGTAGTCCACAAAAATGTTAGCAAGTTCACAACACACATCCTTGGGATGCAAAGGCAACCAGTTATTTAAATGCAATAATTTATAACTAGTAGTGCAAATTCCTTACACATGCTATGTTTGTGTTCAGGGTGCATTTGGTGCTCTCCAGAAGATTTGTGAAGACTCTGCTGACCAGCTTGACAGTGATGCTCTCAATCGACCACTAAATGTTCTCATCCCAAAATTCTTGAATTTCTTCCGTCATGCCAGTCCAAAGATCAGGTAARCATACTACTTAGTAGCCTAGAACTTGAGCTTGAGAATAAAGTCTTTGAGTGGCATAGCAGAAGTGCRTCTCAGGTTCTGTGTAGCATGAGTGKCGTTYRCGGCTAACRTGTCGTCTTTCACCGCTGTGAGTCCAACGGGTTATGTTGCTGGTTCGAGCCCTTCGGTCRTCACATGTGAATTGAGTTTGTTTGATTTGTTGTTCTCTCCTATRCTACGTGGGTTTTCTCTGGTTTCCTCCCTCCAAAAAAATCAACATGTGAGTTAAGTGTTGTTRTCTGCATAGAATATTGAATGTARTGGTAATGCATTTGTGCAAAAAGTGTCCCCAATAAGTGCRAAAGCRCTAGAACGACTAGACACTTAAATAAAGATATTTATTTATTATATTCATTTATTTATTAATTCTTCCAGGACTTGGTATCATCGTCTCTTTTTTGATTAGGGGAGTTTTTCTCTTGCTTCTCCAATTTTCCTCCCTCCATAAAAACTAACAAGCTAAATCCCAATTTAATCTTTGAGTTAGCTATGCCCTGATATCGATCAGAGGTTGTTTCAGGGTTTCAATRAAATGTGAAGTGGGAGTGCTACATTTAGTAAATATTTCTCGTAAGACATTTGAATTTTGCACTCAAGTAAGTTTCAACAAATTTTGTGGTTCTTTTTCAGGTCCCATGCCATTGCTTGCGTCAATCAGTTCATTGTTAATAGAACACAAGCTCTCATGATGCACATCTCCACTTTCATTGAGGTAAACTTGCTTATCYTTAGAAAGTTTCTATAGTACAGAGCCCGGTTGTTTAAAGCCTGGATAGCACTATCCGGAGGATAAATCCTTATCCAATGGATAAGTCGATGCTATTAACCATTAAATTTATCCACTGGATAAGATTTATCCATTGGATAGCGCTATCCAGGCTTCTTACAACCGGGCCCAGGGCTTTCAGAATGTTTTGAAGTAGGTGTTCATATGTCTGAAGTAGATGGCTGTGATCCGATACAAGGAGCAGAAGGCCTTGGTATTTTATAGAAAAGAAAAAGTAGCCAGTGGTTAACTTTGAAGCARTCACCTKAGCTCCATTGGCCRCTAGCTTATTCTGAAAACCCTGTAGTACAAGGCAAAYGCAAACAGAAATATAAGTACAMCTCCTGAATGGAGTGCTACCTAGCCCCACCACACCAACCCGCACACAATTTTTCAGGTCCCCATTAATGGAGGATGTTAAAGAAATTATCCTTAATTATTGCCAAGATATCTTCACCTTATAATCTAATAATTATTYATTTGTAAAACCAGAACCTGTTTGCTCTCGCTGGAGATGAAGACTCAGAGGTCCGGAAAAATGTCTGTCGGGCATTAGTGATGTTGCTAGAGGTCCGAGCAGACCAATTGATACCACATATGAACAATATTGTGGAGGTATTGAAAAATAAGCATTACTTGTAGTTACCAACAATAGTGGTCAATCACAAATTCTGTATTCTCATTGCAAACTAAGCAATAATTGTTCAATTATTGAAGAAATAGAAAGCGAAGTGTGGGGARAAGCCCATGGCATTTAATGGTTGGGTGCTTCTCAACACTTGTTGAGCGTTCGGCCAATCTCCAAGTGCTTTCTAACTGCACACAGCACAGTAACCATTACTTTTGATATGAATATCGCAAYAGAGTATGCATTTTGTGTGCTCTCATAAAGCTCGCTCTTCCAACCAATCAGAATGTTTATTACAGAAATAAAAGACTTAAAACACATTGAAGTATACTGTACATAYAATGTACTGCATACCTAATGCAGTTCAATTTGGATTGAATATTCATTTAACTGTCCTCAAAWTTTGTTGCAAAGGGTCTCGCGCTGATCAAAAATATCAAAGCATTTGCACTTCGTGTYGGTGCTGTGTTGTTATGCTGATGTTTGTTTCTGTTATTTTGTTAGTACATGTTGCTGAGAACGCAAGACAAGGATGAAAGTGTTGCACTAGAAGCTTGCGAATTCTGGCTTACCCTAGCAGAACAACCAATCTGTGTAGAAGTTTTGACTGCGCATTTACACAGGTAATAAACCCAAACATTACAGTATTTACTTGTTTAAGCCCAGAGGCGCTTATTAATTTTTTTGGTTATATATGCGGCATTAATTCAGGAGTGGCGTTAATTCGAGGGCGGGCCTTGTTTAAAGAAATATGTTTCCCATATATACATACTGTAATGTGTAACAAATGATTTAACACAAAGTGAATACAAACGTTTAAAAAATACAAAATATCCTATTTACTTGTTTAAGCCCAGAGGCGCTTATTAATTTTTTTGGTTATATATGCAGCATTAATTCAGGAGCGGCGTTAATTCGAGGGCGGGCCTTATTTAAAGAAATATGTTTCCCATATATACATACTGTAATGTGTAACAAATGACTTAACACAAAGTGAATACAAACATTTAAAAAATACAAAATATCCTATTTACTTGTTTAAGTGCTGTGGCGCTTATTAATTCTTTTGGGTTCCATGTGTGGCATTAATTCAGGGGTGGCATTAATTCAGGGGTGGCATTAATTCAGGGGCGGCACTTATTCAGGGGTGGTGCTTATTAATAATTTTGGTCTTAGGTGCAGTGCACATTTGAGGGTTGCATTTAATCGGGGGCAGTACTTAAATAAGTAAATATGGTTATCTCTTACTGTTAACAATACGGAAGCAGGGGGTTCAACTAGAGGAGATTAAAATGGCTAATGATGGGGCAGAAGCAAAGAAATATTAATATATTTGTATTCATCTGTACATAACCATTCATATATTTATATATCTTGTCTTCCAGACTCGTTCCCATACTTGTAAATGGAATGAAGTACTCTGAAATTGACCTAATTTTATTAAAGGTACGTAACTATTTGAGAATTTTATTACAATATACACTATCCAGCTACCCTCATAATTTGGAATATTTGTAAAATCAAAAAAATGATGAGATACAAGCATTAACAAGAGAGTCCAAGAGGACTAAAACTTGCCGACCATATTGGTACTAGGTGTAACAATGGATGTTAAGGAGAAATCTTTTGTTAAATGACACCAACATGGCAATGATGACGTAATGTGCAATCCATATACATAGGAAACAGTACAACAAAATCACACACATACAGTACTGTTCTAATGTTGTYATACCATGTGGTAGTCATAACAACCAGCGGATCTAAGAAAAAATGTTAGCCAATCAGAATCGAGAAAATGTGCAAAACTGAAGTGTCACTTTTCTTCTTGAAATTTTGATTTCCAGGCCACCAAATAAAAGAAATATTAATTTTGCTTATAAGTGCTTCATAACAGCGACGACACGAGTAAAAAACATCTGCACATGATCTAAGTGCATATGCAATTAGTCAAAACATCTTCATGTTTTTTTGTAAAAATATGTAAATTTGACTTTCAAACATGCCTGATAATATTATAATATAATATAGATATAATATAAATGTCTGCGCATGCTCTAAGTGCATATCATGCAAATTAGTCAAAACGTCTTCATGTCATTATAAAAATRTGTAAATTTGACTTTCAATACCAAAACGTAGTGTCAACTAATTTTTAATCTTCTCCAGGCTGACCAAGAGGATGATGAGGCTGTGCCAGACAGTGAACAAGACATTAAACCAAGATTCCATAAATCAAAGACTCATTCACAGCAACATGAAGATGCTGAGGTAATCATTCTTCATTTCTTCTTCTCTTCTTCTTTCTTTTCTTTGTTTTCGTGGCGTGTAAAGAAAGTTTGTCATTACTGGTTGTTGTACTTACTTATTCACACGTTTGGAGTTTTGAGACATTTGGAGTTTTGGCTTCCGTCAATCAATGTTAGCAAGGACTAAGTTAAAAGAATTTTCTCTATAGACCCCAGAGAAAAATCCTTGTGGYGAAGGAGAGCAAAAAGGAATTGATCAAACTCAGTTCACATGTGGAGTCTGCAGGAATCACTTTGTGTACCTGTAGGACTCATATTACTGGATTGCACAGGTTTTACTGTTATGATTCTTGTATAAGAATCTTCTGAGTTCTTTAAGAGTTAAATTTTGACATGGATTTGTTATCAGGCTGGAAGTGATGAGGATGATATGGATGATGATGCTTTGTCTGACTGGAACTTGAGTAAGTTTCTTTTTATATCTTAGTTTCATTTATTTATTTATTCATTTATTTGTTTATTCATTTATTTGTTTGTTGGTGTATTTTTTTACCACAGGAAAATGCTCAGCTGCTGCAGTCTTACATTTTATTTTATCTTAATTTCATTTATTTATTCATTTATTTATTTGTTTATTTATTTATTCATTTATTGGTGTATTTTTTTACCGCAGGAAAATGCTCAGCTGCTGCTCTGGATGTCCTTGCTAATGTCTTCAGAGATGACTTACTTCCTGTCCTGTTACCAATACTCAAGGAAATACTCTTTCATCCTGACTGGGAATCTAAAGAATCTGGTATTCTGGTACTAGGTGCTGTCGCTGAAGGTAAAATGAAAATGAAAATCTTAACTTTGGTACAGTTTACTGTACCTTTTCTCAGTTGTATGAAATGAAAGGTTATGAATAGACGTGAGTAGAGTTTTTTGGGTCTATTCATATGCATGTCCTGACCTAGGTGTAGCCATAGTGTACTTGCCTCTCACCTATGGGGTCTYGGGTTCAATTCCTGGTCTTAACAACAGATGTGAGTAGAGGTTTTTGGGTCTATTCATATGCATGTCCTGACCTAGGTGTAGCCATAGTGCACTTGCCTCTCRCTTATGGGGTCTYGGGTTCAATTCCTGGTCTTAACAACAGACGTGAGTAGAGGTTTTTGGGTCTATTCCTGGATTTGAAGATTTTTTCCAGGGTCTGGTTTTCTCCCATCTAAAAAATCCACTAAACTGAGTTACAGTCTGTTTGTTCATCACATGCATGCCCTGACCTAGATTGACCTTCAAGTTTTTAAAGATAGGAAATCAAAGGGGAATGGGTTGATATAATAAATTATTATTGCCTTCAAAATAGAAATATTTGCTTTTATTATTTCAGGCTGCTTGAATGGGATTGCACCTCATCTATCAGAGCTAGTTCCATTCCTGATTAACTCTCTTTCTGAAAAAAAGGTATGTACCAAAATATTCTTTCATTCCGTTGTCTTTGCTTGGAGTTTATTTTCCTGTTACATATTTAATGAACCTGTTGTTTCAGGCACTGGTACGGTCTATAACCTGCTGGACACTGAGTCGGTATGCTCACTGGGTAGTCAACCAACCACATGAAGCATATCTACAGAAGCTCATGACAGAAGTAAGTCATTTATACAAAAATAAACTGCATTTAACTGCTATGATACAGAAAGAAAGGTTTAAGAAAAAATTTTTGAGTGCAGCTAAAACTAAATGAGTTTAGAGTTTAAAAAGCGCAAGGACTTTAGTGGGAGGAAGGGGCTGGGGAGCTTGCTTAAGTCTAACTCTCCCCCCCCTCCCTCCCCACACACACACGCAATAAAAAAGCACATACTTTTGCACATCAAGTTTATATAGGCATGCTAGTCTGACATATTTTTTTNCCCAAAAGACAAAAATAAACATGTTTTAGACTGCTCCATGATCTCATACAGTGCCCTTTTTATTATTCTTAACCAAGTAATTTTTCCCCTATAGTTGTTAAAAAGAATACTGGACAGCAATAAGAGAGTCCAAGAAGCAGCATGCAGGTATCATATATATATATATATGTGTGTGTGTAATTTACCAGCCAGTAGGTCCAGATAGGGAAAAACTGTGCCCAAGGTCTTGAATGTACTGAACAAGGCTGTTAGACCAAGGTCCGTTTTCAAGACCGAGGGCATAGTTTTCCCAATCTGGACCCACCTGAGGATGGTAAATACACATTTTTATAATTTATTTTTAGTGGTCCCAGGATACTGGACCATGACCACAGGTAGAAACTGAGAAAAAATCTCAAACAGGCAATCAGAATGAGTAAATTTTTTAGGATACCAGACGAGGAAAAAATAAAATATTATTTTGAACAATATTTGACATTGGAGGGATGAAGAAAATAAAGCAGTAGGGTACTTGACAAAATGTTTGCTTTGCAAACCAAACTGTCTGCCTTACTTAGATATGGTCAGTACAAAGAAGATATAACTAGCTAAAAACTAGTGTGAGCTGCGTCGGTGTTTCTATTGAAACATTAATGATGTAAAGGTAAATTATACACCGTGAAAAGATGATAAAACCTACTCTTTTACTCCGACGAAGGACTAGCGTCCGAAACGTTAGTAAGTTTTTTCATCTTTTCACGGTGTATAATTTACCTTTTCATTATTCCCCCCCGGATTAAATATTGACTGGTTCCTTAGTAATGTTCTTATGCTCTTTAGCGCCTTTGCCACACTGGAGGAAGAAGCTTGCACAGAACTTGTACCCTACCTTGGATTTATTCTGGAAACATTGGTGTTTGCTTTCAATAAATATCAGGTACACTTATTATTGGTAATCAATCTAGGCTTAGTATTGTACATACCTGGTACTTGTTTTAAGGTGGATAAGATAAAATTAAATGCACTAGGTAGAAATCTGGATGGGTAAAATGTTAAGAAAGATACAGTACAACTTTAGAATAATCCGCAAATCATATGCACATATTTAATGATCATGACTTCTATTGTTGTATGTGTCATTCTTCAAAGAGTTTTGACAACTACATATAATTTGCTGGGGGGGGGGGGGGGGTACTCTAAAATTGATAATTAAGACATCCCTGAAAATCTGGTATTGATCAACGATTTATTTCGTGCTCTCAGCACAAAACTTAAATCTCAAATTTTCTGATATCTCTTTCATCATATTTATCTATCTATAGCACAAGAACCTTCTTATCCTGTACGATGCCATTGGTACCCTAGCAGACTCTGTTGGCCATCACCTAAACAAACCTGAGTACATCACGATGCTAATGCCACCTCTTATCCAAAAATGGAATCAGCTTAAAGATGAAGATAAGGATCTTTTTCCATTATTAGAGTGTTTATCATCTGTAGCCACTGCCTTGAGATCTGGTTTCCTTCCTTATGCTGGACCAGTCTTCCAGAGATGTGTTTCTCTAGTTGAGAAGACTTTGACACAAAGCTTGGTAAGTTTATTACCAAGATACTGTAAGAATGGGCCTCTTTTAGCTTGGGCATAATATTCTCATTTCAGACCATGCGTCATTCCCTAGAGTATCATTTCTTTGTTTAATGGTTGTACACGAGAAATCAGATACGTAAATATAGATACAACTCAAACGAAGAATATTATACTCAAGGGAATGACACGTGGTCTAAAATGGGGAAACATTACACCAAAGCTAAAAAGGTTTAATTATTTATTATAATATAACATTGCTATCATTTTTCAGTTTGCAGGATAGGGTACCCCCACTGCTAGTTGTAATTGAATGAATGAATGAATGAAACCTTTATTTAAAATTAAATAAAGCCAGGGTAAACCCTTCAGAACTAATAAAAAGCTCTGCTATCAACGGGAGCCCTRAGTAATGGCTGATGTATGTTCTATATTTCAGGTGTCCCAGGCACAGCCAGAGCAGTATGAACCACCAGATAAAGACTTCATGATTGTAGCCTTGGACTTGTTAAGTGGACTGGCTGAGGGTCTAGAGGGACAGATAGAACAGTTTGTTGTACGGAGCAACATCATGACTTTGCTGTTCCAATGTATGCAGGTAAAAACACTGAGTAAATAAATAAATAATAATAATTAATAAATAACTTTATTTAATTGTTGATGCAATAGTTTATGCAACTAAGAAATTAAACTGGAATGAAGAAATAATTTTTGAAAAAAACATAAAGTGTTTTGAAAATCCCAACTGGCAAGGAGGCAAACCAGTAGGCTAATTACAAGCATGGTCGAGAAACTGAATTTGAACTAATCAGAAGTCAGGACAAGTACAGTCTCAGCTAGTGGCCACAGCGGGACTTGAACTCAGCATCACTGGGTTGTGAGACTGACGCTATGAACACACGACCATGCTGTCTCCTTATAGTATCAAATACAAGCATTGATATTTGTAGTTGGTTAGGTTTTATGGAGGTAGAAAAATCCTCTAATCAAAGGAGGGATTACCCAACTCCACTTGCAAGTGATGCCAAGTTCAAGAATCAAACCTGAGACCAGAGGTGAGAGGGGAATTCAATACTGCTATGGCATCTGTGATTCTCAATACTAGTAATGAATCATGAGTTGCATCTATAAAAGGCATGAAAGTATACTGAAAATGAGAATTTTCAAGAGTCATTTGATTAAAACAGAGTTTGATACCAACATGGGAGAGTTGATCATGCAGGTATTAGTGAACAATCTGCACTGTACGGTAAGTGGTCGTTAGGTGGTCGATAAGTGTTCAACAAGGTAACAGTAAGTGGTCGGTCCATTAATCTTGTTTTATGACATTGTTTCAGGACAAGATGCCTGAAGTCAGACAGAGTTCCTTTGCTCTCCTTGGAGA